CATATGACACCGCTTCTTCCTATATTGGTGACCGACATAAAAACAAAGGCTTCTTTTCGCGATTTATCATTAACGGTCACTATGGATCGTGCTTATGTGGTCGTTTTTAAGTGTGAAGGGTCACGCGTATTGAACAGGTTCGGATTGTCACTTCTAGCATAACGATACTACACAAATCAGGCTCGCGACATTAATACTGCAGAACAAGTGCTAAAAGCTATAAGCTGCTCCTCTAAAATTGATTCATGTGTTTCCGAAGGTATTCTGGTCATCCTTTCCCTTTCGCAATCTCCTCTATCTTCTACTTTATTTTGGTTCTTTTTTGGAATAGATAGGTACACAATTCGTACTAGTAAAATTCGTCACAGTTTGCACATAGAAGTCTACAAAAAGAGGTATTAATCATTAATAAAAATTTACCTTAAAGCTTCACATTGTTATTACATCCGTTGTTACGCTACAAAACGTAATATTTAATTCCCTTTTGGAAGAAAGTAATTAAGTGGTTTTTTAATATTTTTAGCGCATTTCCACAAAAATAAAAAAAAATGCGCTATTGTGGCCACTTTGTCCGTCCGTCCGTCCGTCCGTCCGCTAACTTTGCGACGCTACTAGTTTTTTATCTTAAGAGCTATTGTTGTACTTTTTTCGCTATTTGGTTCGTTATGGTGTCGAGTCTTGTACCAAGGAAGGAATTTTTTCTGTACCGCTTACAAAAAAAGTTATTGTAAAAAAAAAAAAACCGTTTTTTACATGTTCCATAATTTTACACTTTTGCCGTTTATTAACGATCCTAGAGATCGTTTATAATTTTGCATTGCTATCTGTCGCCTGCCGGTTGGTCTCTCCGTCTGTTCCTTTGTCTGTCTGTTCATCTATCTGTCCGTGTGAACGATAACTTTGTTTAGAAATGTTCGATCGCTTTTACATCTCCGTTAGTTATGAACTGAATTGCAAGAAATTCAATATGGGCATAGCTTTAACCATATAATACGCAATGCCAAAAGTTGAATCGAATCGATTCAAAATTCACAGTGCCCTTTTCGCATCTCGACCAATTATAAACCGAATTGCAAACTTTTTTACTTATAAAAGTATTTGAATGAAATTTGATACATAGGCACTTGGAATAAAGGAAAATCAAACGCCAATTTAAAAATTTGGTTTTGCGCATGCGCAGTGCCAACTTTTTTATTTATGGAAGAATTTAAACGAAATTTGATACATAAACACTTCGAATAAAGGAAAATCAAACGCCAATTTCAAAATTTGGTTTTGCGCATGCGCAGTGCCAACTTTTTTATTTATGGAAGAATTTAAACGAAATTTAATACATAGGCACTTGGGATAAAAGAAAATCAAACGCCAATTTCAAAATTTGGTTTTGCGCATGCGCAGTGCCAAGTTTTTTATTTATGGAAGAATTTAAACGAAATTTGATACATAGGCATTTGGGATAAAGGAAAATCAAACGCCAATTTCAAAATTTGGTTTTGCGCATGCGCAGTGCCAACTTTTTTATCTATGGAACCATTTAAGTGAAATTTGATACTTAGGCGCTTGGAACAAAGGAAAATCTTAGTTTATTAGTTAGTTATAGTAAATTAGTTTTAAAATTTAGGTTTGCGCATGCGCAGTCCCAACTTTCTTATTTAGAAAAGCATTGAAATGAAATTCTTCTCATAAACTGAAATTGAAGTAGCACGTCAACAATGGATTGCCCATGTGCAACGCTATCTTTCATATTTGTGGCCGGATTTTTACGATTTTTACAGAAGTTGCATCTTACAAATGGGAAATGAATGCAAGTGGAAATGCGCTTTATGTAAATCGTTTACGATTACTTTTTAACTTGTTCTTCTTGTAATTTGATTAACATTTTATCTGTCATACATGCCTCGCTTTTAATCAAGGGAATCTTGTCTTTCTGTATATCAAAACATAACCCTAATTTGAAAATAAATGCAATCGAATTTCAAATACGGTAGGTAGTGAATTTAGGTTTCCCTCTTTAACACCAACTTAAAAACGATGCGTTAATAGGACTCATTAACGCACTGTTTTGAATGGAAAACAGTGCGTTAATAAGAACATTTAAAAATCGAAATAGAAAAACGTCATTTCTGACGAATAAACTTATTTGGAACTTTCATGTTTCCACAATTCATGGTGATGTAAACGTGACGATTGTACATATAAAAAAACGATCTTCACGACTGTTCCATAATCAACATCAAGTTCAGTCTAAGAAGATAGAAGTTGGGAGATGTGGCTCTACTACATGACAATAACGTCAGCCAAGACTACTTTGGAAGTTAGTCCAAATAATGAAGCTATTTCATGGACGTGATGGAAAAGTTAGAGCCTGAGAAATGAAAATTGCCGATCAGACCGTTTTGCGACGGCCAATACAACTATTAATTCCCTTGGAAATCACTGGGGCCGGGGAGGATGTGGAAAATCCCGTGAGAAATCTCCAAGGTAGCGAGATCGAAGAAGGCGAGAAAAAAAAGATGAAGAGCAATAGTATTGATATGAGCGTAGTAATAAAGTGTACGTATTTTTGTTTACGATTTGTCGAAGCTTCATTTCACTGCCCATTCATTAAGAAAGCGCTGTACTTTACGGTACATTGAATTTTATTGATTGCTCTTGCATTCAAACATGTCCTTATTGCTCCATTCTTTTTGTAATTAGTTTGCTTGAAATTTAAACTAACACTGAATTTTGAAACCCTTCAAATCCCCCTACTGTTCAAAAACATGCTTTCAAACTGATTTTCAAGTGCTGCCGATCATGACGCTATTTGAATTGAGTCGAATACTTTGTTCAAATACTTCTTTGTAGAAAATCACGCTTCTGATAAGTGCAGTTTAGGATTTACTTCATTTAAATATGTAGTTTCAAAACTGTAATAATTAATATGATTGAATCACAAATCCGCAGTCTCATACCACACATGTATACGTAATAGTATATTAAGACACAAGTGTATAAGCATGCGCATCGAGTTTAATGGCACGATGCGGAGCGGAGTGTCTTTAACGTTGCAAGTGCTTTAAAGACCAATTATACACGTGTATTTTATAGTATTTTTTTATTATACCTGCAGTATAATTTAAAAATAGGAAATACAATGAAATCGTATTGACGTTATACTCGAATACATGTCTAATTAAGTGGGCTGGGTGTTCGTAATTTCACGATTGACATGGAGATGCTACTTGACGTTTGCTTATAAAAATCATCGTCTTTGTGAATAAAACGATATCGGTTGAAAAAGATAATACACCGTCCATGTTGTAAAATTTAAACAAACGTTGGTAGGTGTAAAATCCAAATCGGGTAAAGCCTATTATAAAGAATATGAAAAGTTGTTTCCATGGATGAATAGGAAGTTACTTACGAATAAAGTCTTAAATGCATCGATAATGCTGGCATATATGAAGGAAATGTCAAAGGTATTTAAATATTCTATCTTTTGGTGCATTTATTAAAAGCTTCAAATAATGCTGCGATTAAAATGTGGATCAGATTTGGAAGCATACCCTAAATTATGCGCTTCAACCAAAGGATAGGTACAAGCCAAAGAAATGTTCTGCTTTTACAAAAAGCGACCTAAGAGGATTTTTTATTTCACCCAGAATCCAGATGACAGTTTCAAAAGTCATACTTGAAGTATCATTACTTAGCAACTTTAAAACACGTGTGTTTTAAAGGCCTTTTTTCGCACGCCTTTGAGTGTTTAAAACGGAGATTGTGATTCAGGTATAATAAAAAATTTGAAAAAACGTTGAACCTTGCCTTTATTGGAAAATAGGATATCTTTGCATTGTTTGTCTAAAATAAGTTGGAAATTTTGAAATCTTGTTGCGCCACTGATAAGATATCCAAATCGTAGTTTCCAAATAGGTTGGATATTTATCGCTTTATTTGGATTTTGATAATTGGGCGATAAACATTGGAAATCTTGACGAAAGCAATCCAAAACATTTGGAAATTTGTTCTCTGAAAAGTTGGAATTTGGATTCGTTGTTGGTCCTCGGGTTCAACAACTGACACGTTAATAAAATTAACGAACGTATGTTTGGTGGGAATAAGGCAAGTTTATATTAAACGTCCCATCAAATTTAATTTAGCGTCTGTTCCAAGATACTCCTGTTACCAACCGCGAAATGGGTTGGTTACATCTACAATAGATGATATGCTTACCAAATGAAATTACAAATTTGTCAATAAAACTTACGATGACTAACAATAATCTGAAGGAAAAATGCAAAACTTGTCGAGTAGATGGCACTTCATTAATAATTCGAATCATACTTTATCTTTTATTATTTTTTATTACCTCGATAACTTAACTGCTAATGGGTTTCAATTAACTCCTAATTTTATTGTACCCCTTTTTAGACGAATTCCTTGTACAAATGTCAAGGAATAATCCACTTGATTATTCTTCATTGTTCATTGATATTATCTTCTATTTATTAATTCCATGCGCATTTCCTTGTAATACGTGCGTCATTGTTGTAGTTACAATTTTCATCTACTGTATAGTTATTGCACACAACCTATACGTTGTCTCGGTAATATTGAGTTCTATAATAATACCGAGGGGTTTTATGCGGTGTAAAAGACGCAACATAATTTATGTTCTGTTTTCAGTTTGCGGCTGTTGTCTCTCGATTTTCTTTTTAAGATAAATGCACTTGAAACATAAAATGATTTATGTCTGGCTATGATTATCCGTCATTTTGTGGGGACGATACGTTCGCGTTTCTAAATGTCTTCTAAAGATTGCCGAAATGTATAGCCAACACAAGAACCTAATTTAGTTAAGAAAAATTACGCTGTAACAGAAGAATGATAAATTGGAGTAGTCCACAATAAGTGATTGCCCATATTTAAATTACTAAAAATGAATTGTTCCACCCCCACAGTGGATTACAGCTATACAAAAGTTTTAAAGTTTGTTTCACGGGTACCCTAATTTGTTTCAGACTAAACGACCTAGATGAACTTCCAGAACGAGGTCTATTTCTAAACGATCTTAACTTGCACGGATTAAGTCGAGAAATGGTGCTAGCTGGATGGCAGCATAATTCGAAGTAAGTCAATTTTAATATATTCTTTTTTATAACGTTGATATGAAAAGTTTTATTGCTACATCCCAGTTCATTGCTAGTTTAGAGCTGTTATAAACTTAGCACAGCAAATAAAAGGCATGGACGACTTTTTATTAAAGTATTGATTAGACTTGGTATAACCAGAAACCGTTACAGTTATCGTGACGATATGTAAGTAATGCAATCACTTTCAGTTCGCAATATAGATAATATAATTGATAACCAGTTAGGTAATCACAAAGTTACGTTATTCTAATGCTTCTTCGTAGCTTTTATTAATTTTATACTGCACTGTATGGAACTTTGATTTGATTGAAGAAGTTCTGCGATACCTACGGTCTATTCAGTATATCTTCCGTTGCACGTCATTACCTGAAGAAAACGACGTACCAACTTAAACTTACTTTCGTTTATTAGGCAACACATTAAGCATGTAGTTTATTTTAGCCGCAACAATTGGTAGCATTTCGCTATGTTGTCGCGTTTAAATTTGTAAATTTGACAGGTTGCTTTTGGTTTACTTTTCGTTTGATTTGATTTTGATTATTTTCTACGTCTTTCGCTGTGCATTGGTTTGAAGAGAAATTACTGAAGAATTTAGATAACCCGTCAGTAATTGTGTTCGATAACGGGAAAACAGACAACATTAAAGTGTGGTTAGGTGATCATAATGTGCAGTTCTCCGAAAATGATTTTAAAGCCGAACTGTTGAAAAGGTTGCACAGTAAGTACGTTCGCAAATTATTTGATATTATTTAAATCTTGTTGATACTTTTAGGAATAAATCAGCTAAAATGTACCGCATAACGCATTGACCACTTAGCCGAGCAATACGGTTACTTCGTTTTACGATTACCACCGTATCATTGCGTTTTTAATCCTATCGAACATATTTGGGGCATAGCGAAAAATTACTACAATCGACAGATTGGTAGAGATGGACGAAGCATTGAAAATTGCGTAAACATGTGACAAGAAACACTACAATCGATAACTTCCTAAACGTGGCGCAATTCAGTTAAGGATACGGAAACTGTAATACACGAGTGGTACGAAAGAGAAAAGCAATTAGATCTTGAAAACGTTGCTACTATTATTATAAACTTTGAATACGAAAGCAGTTCCGATGATTCCGATTAATTTGAATATCATCCATCACATCACATAACCTGTAAAATTTTATATTTAGTACTTTCTCTGTAAAAGAGATGGTACATTTGTACAGTTCATAAGTTATTAAGTATATTGTGGTTCCAATTAACGAAATGAATAATAAAAATTATTTTTATTTTTAAGGTGTGGATTGGTCACACAAACAATGCACTGTCTTGTTGACAAGTGACATAACCTAAATCGCTCAAAACTAGATTTGGCATTATTGCATAGTAATTACGTCATAGAAAATGATGACGTGCAACGGAAGTTATACGGAATAAAGTGTATATATTTTTATACAGAAAACTTGTTTTCGCACCGATGACACCAGCACGTTAAAAAGTTATTCAATTATTATAATGCTTTTGGAGAGGATCATAATATATCGAAAAACTTAATTCGCGCATCTTCCCATACAAATACAATAGGTACTGTGAACTGCCTACTTCTGAATCGTTTTCTTTTTACTGCAGTGACTGTTTAAAATTCTTGCAAAAGATGCCTAACTAGTAATGGCTCCTATACGACAACAATCCGCCCGTCTCATTATTTTTCCGTCTTCATCTCATTCTTACTGACAAACGCTATTTATCTCAATTTTTATAATGAGTGTTGTACGACAAATTTATCCCGTAGTAGATTCATTATGTCCTGGAACATGATAAGAAAAGGAGCGTTGAAAGGGAAACGTGATTTGTAAACCTTTTGAGGTTATTCTGTATTTTCATACATACATAATTTACTACAATACTTTTACAACAAATCAGACACTTCAGTCGTACACAAAATGGTAACATATTGAGGCAAATCTTCCCCGTATTTCAATTTATACGACACTAATATACTCCCACCAACATCCAAACTTACATAGGTATGTCACATATACAGATAGGTATGGAACCAAATATAATAGGTATTTCTAACAGCGTTTTTGCACTTTGGTACAAGACAATACCTATAAAATGGTTTTTTAGCTTTTTCCATTGTCTGAATAGCTATGTTACAACTGATAATCTGTATAAAAACTCAGCACTAAAACTAAACAAATACTGATGGTGACTTGTGACGTCATTCAAGGCCCGCTGAAAATGTGGCGGCGTTCAAACCATTGAAATAAAAGACTAAGGAAGAAGGGGTACCTACATAAAGTACGCTTATTGGGATCCAATCCAATCCAATTGGCTTCTCAATATGGCCGACTTTGACAATTAATTGACATTTACCGTAAAGTGAAACATTAGCTGTAAATCGTGTAATATAAGAAAGTCAAAAGCTAAAACAACAATTTGAAATACATCTACTTTTCAGATTTCCTTTAAACAGGGAATGACGAGATAGCTGGATTTCGTTTATAAGAAGTGATGGATCTGTCTATACGGGGTGCCAGTTTTAAAAATTGCTGTCGGCCATATTTTCCAAACTGAAGAAGATATTGAAAATCGTTTCAGGGGTATTGAGGGGAACCGAATGACGTTATGAGTGGCACCCCCCTTAACCCCCCAGTTCCCCTCTTTAAAAATCTTAAATGGCAACCCCATACTTGTGACACATCGTTGGAAAGCTACTGAAAAATGCTTTCGTGTGGAACCAATAAAGTCCATATTCATTAAGACAATTTAACAAAAATTTAATAATTAACAAAAAAAAACTATATGTTGACATTGAGTGATTTATGGCAAATTGGTCAAGAACTTCAACCTGAACTGCTTCATTAAGTAATCTTGGTTGCTTTGTTTCTTTTATTGATAACAGATCTCGTTTCTTCGAATTTAGCGACCAAATTTTGAACATAGCCATGGCTTACATTCTCCTGAGATGTCTCTCATTAAACGTTCTGGCTGTTCTAAAAGATGATAGATTTTCGGAGCCATAAATAAATATTATTTCCACACGTTCAGCTGTACTGTAAGTCTGTAAGTCAATAAAAAAAGCAACCAAGATTGCTTAATGAAGCAGCCCAGGTTGAAGTTCTTGGCCAATTTGTCAAAAATCCTTCAATGTCAACATATAGTTTTTTTAGCTTCCTAGCATGTGCTAGGTAGCTATTGCGATAGCCGTTTTTTGAACATTTCAAAATTTCATCACATGTCGACGTTTTAGACCATTTTAAGCAACTTTTAAAGAATAAAATTTTTTTCCGTCTGTATGTACGTACGTACGTACGTACGTACGTTTGTTGGCAATTTTCTGAGAAAACGGCTCGACGGATTTTGTTGAAATTTTGTATATATGTTTTAGGCATACCGAACAGAAAAATAACGGGCCGGATTTTTGAAAAAAAATTTTGGAGCGCCGTAACGGCATCGAACTTTTTTTTTCAAATAGCAACCTAAAATTTTTATTCTATTATTTGGAAGACCTTATTTTCCTGTGTACAACCTACAAAAAATTGGGCCGGGTTATATTATCAAAAAACGGAGAAAAAAATTGTCAACGTCAAAAAATTGTGTTGCATATGTGCAAAACGCAACGATCTTGTTTCTGAAGCAATTTAAACGAAATTTCTATGGTAAGTCCCTTTAATAAAAGCAAACAAACTTCATGCGCAAAAATCGTGTTGCGCATGCGCAGAAATGCAATTTTCTTATTTATGGAACAATTAAAACGAAATTTGGATGGTAGGTTCTCCTAATAAAAGAAAACAAAATGCATGCGCAAAAAATCGAGTTGCGCATGTGCAACATCCAACTTTCTTATTTATGGAGCAATTTTAACGAAATTTGGATGGTAGGTCCCTCTAATAAAAGCAAACAAAATGCATGCGTAAAAAATGCACCTTTCTTATTCTTTCCGTCTGTATGTACGTACATATGTTGGCAATTTTTGGTTTCAGCTAGGAAGCTATTCTGTCAAGAATTTGACACCTGGTTTTGTTAATTATTAAATTTTTGTTAAATTGTTTTAATGAATATGGATTTTATTGGTTCCACTTGAAAGCATTTTTCAGTAGCTTTCTAACGATGTGTCACAAGTATGGGGTTGCCATTTAAGATTTTTAAAGAGGGGAACTGGGGGGTTAAGGGGGGTGGGGGGTTGCCACTCATAATGTCATTCTGGTTCCCCCTCGATACCCTTGACACGGTGTTGCGCGGTTTTCAATAGGTATCTTCTTAAGTTTGGAAAATATGGCCGACTGCAAGTTTTAAAATTGACACCCTGTATAGTAAAATCTATGTAATATCAGTACTATCCGCCACAAAATTAAATATATTAAATGTGTGTACGTCCCTGCACGTATGAACGTCCACCATATTGAGAAGCCTAATAGGATCCTAGCTAATAAGACATAAGCTCCATCCTTAGTCTTTTATTTCAATGGTTCAAACACATCGAATAATATAAAGTTTACGTTTTAAATATTATTTTACAAGTTAATTGAATTGTTCTAACAGTGTTTACACTTTTTACATTGTAAAAACGATTTAAAAAAGCGATTAAAAATTTTAAAAAGTACATGCATATTCCCTATTCAACTTTTTGGGATTCAACGTTGAGTTGGCCTCTTTGGGTCGGTGGAATACGTCTTCAAGGTTGTTAATGTGAATCCTGGAAAGCTTTGCCAACAATATCATCCAAATAAACCAGGAAAGTCATCCAGGATAATCCATTAACAATCGATCCCACTAGTCGCTCAAAAATGGCTGGCGCATTGCATAATCCGAACAGCATGGCGGAGATTTGCCATAATCCTGATCCAAGGGTAAAGGCTGTCCTTTTCCTTATCTTCTGGAGCTTATACTCCACTTGGCAATAGTCACTTTTTAAATCTAACGTTATGCATATTCTTGATCCAGCAAGAGTGTCGCTAATTTGCGGTAACGAATACCTGTCTTTCTTAGTCACGCTGTTGAGCTGACGATAATCCTCACAAAATCTGGTGGAGCTTTAATCACATTTTCCCCCTTCGCATCTCGGACAATCTTCTCCACCGCTTCCCTCTTAACGAAAGGCAGTCTTCTGGGTGTTTGTCAGATAGGCGGACAACTGTCAGTATTTATTTTGTTTCTAACAATTTTGCATCGACATTTGACCCTTTCATTTACCTAAATCAACAGGTAACGGATGCTTTCTGTTCGGTGTCCATTCTTTCACATGTTTCCGCTATCAGGGCAGGCAACTTTTAAGGGATCTTCTCGAATCTGGTTGAACCACTCGTACGCGTTGTATTGACGACTCGCTTGCCAGTTTCCCAACCGTGGTTCCTTTCTTCAGTTTCACGTCGTAAGAACTAACATTCATCAGTCTAACCGGTACTTCTTGCTTAATGGCGATCAATTTCACCTTGCAGCTTTCCATCCAACCTTAAAGAATTTTTCTTCATTCAACACTGCCTGTACTGAGGTGCTCTTTTACTGATCCAACACGAAATTTTCATCTTCCAGTTTCAATACTCCCTGTTTGAAATAAAGTTGAAAACCGTAGGTGCCCATTATGTCCCTCCCTAACATGATATTTTCCTCAATACCAGCGCACGATGCGTAATAGTCTACCCGATAGTGATATGAACAATGAAAATTGGTCAATATGATGACATCTCCAGTCACAGTACATGATCGGCATTTAGTATTTATAAGTCGCGTCCGGTTGAATAGCTGGGATCTAATGATGGTGGCACCTGTATCAACCAGCGTACTTATTGGTATACTCATCAGTAATTACGCTCTGGGATCCGGCACAGAGTGACGTGGCATAGTCTTCACTCGGGGTTTGCGGATACGGATCGACGATTGGCCCATCTCATCACTCCTGCTTAGTTTTCCGATGAATCAGTAGATCAGTAGGTCTGGATTCCTGGGACTTTTTGCATGTGCCCCAGTTCCCCGTAGCCCCAACATCGAGGGCGATTCTTTCTATGGTTTTCAATAGCTCTTAAGATAAAGAACTACTAGTGTCCCAGCGGATGGACGGACGGACAGACGGGCGGATAAAGGTGCCACAATAACGCATTTTTTTTAATTTTTGTAGAAATGCGCTAAAAATCAAGCAGAGGTATTCCTGAATCAAAAAGCTGCACAACACATTAAATCAGTCAGAGAGAAGAAGCTAATAACAACTTGTAAGGAAAAACTAACTCAAAGTTTAGATCAGTTGAGGACGAAATTATCTTCGTAAAAGGTTTTTGCGAACACGTTGTTCGTAAAGCTGGAGACATTACCTCCAACATCAGCTGCTCTAAGTTCCACAGCCTCCGAATGTCCCAGAATGGAAAGGAAATAAACAGGATCCTTTATAATGGGGTTGGGGATTGATAAAAATTTTCTACCCGCAAACTGGGCGTGCGCAAAATGTCGAGGAGTTGTTCAAATTCTCCAGAGCCTGATCTTATACTATCGATTTGGAAGAAGTGGAAGTTATAGACGAATAATTCCGCTTTTACTGCCATGTGTGGGCCGGGACCGGGGCATACGGTAATCATATAAATAATGTATTTCTATCGTACATTACATTAATCTTAATGTATTGAGCGTTTTCAGATTAAACATAAGAATAACAATGTCCTTTTCATACAGACATGAGTAAGTTAATTTAACATTCTATTGTAAATTGCCCTATGAGCAGCCCAAAATAATTAGATAGCGGATTTTAAGTTTTAATGCGACATAGGTAAGTGTGCGGGGTCTAAACAAATTTAAACAGTTATTGAAGTTTTGTTAATTAGATTTCAAGCTTCATTGTTAACTTTCGTTTAAATAAATAAGTAGAAATGAATTCGTTTCTGTTTAATACTTCCAAGATCAATGTTAAGTGCAAAAGTACTTGATTTTCAACAGCTCTAATTCCAGTTTAAAGCGAGGCCCTTGAATAAATTGATTTGAGATTAATTTGATTTAATTAGGTCTGTCTTTTCCCTTTATTTTTATATTAGAACTAAGGATTCGTTTCAAACTAAGGATTCGTCGCAGTTTGAATTTAGAAATTTTAGATTCGAACATGCAATTTTTTTTTGCATACAGCCGTGAAGTCCTAAAAAAAAGTACCATAGCAGCACAAAATTTAAGTTTTGATGCCCTAATCATTCTTCGTATACAGTGTAGTTTCCGTAAAATTCACACCTCAGATGTAGACATCATTTGGTCAATGTGATGGTACCTAGTACCTACATATCCGAATTTGTGCTGCCGTGCTTTTGCTAGTGGTTTGTTTGGGGCTTCATTACCAGACAAGCCAGGTTGTTTAAGGTGGCGTTTACAAAAGTGCAAAAGTTGCCTTGCGATTTCCTCAATAACTTTGTTTCGAGGTAAAAAAAATTAACTTCTGTTAACGACCGCTGGTTGCTAAAGGTTTAAGCTTGTGAATGAAGTTAAATTTGATAACAAATTATTATCAGTGTGATCAAAACGAAAGATATAATTATATTTTATATGGGAGTTTTTTAAATTTAACTAACTTATTTCCTAAATAACGGCGTAAGTACAGGAATTACCTAAATAATTTTTGTTTCATGCAAATGTCTGAACATAGAATTATATTTGAATGAATGTTATTTCAACCAAAAATTTGTACCCAGAAGGCAGTTGTTGTGGAAACAAATTTCCAATTTTTCAATGTAAACGCCACCTTAACACTACAAGACACAATAAAATTGCTTGTTGTATTTCTTGCTAAACACGTTGAAAACACTTATTAGGATCACACTCCAGAAACGAATCGGTGTTGTTTATCGACTTAATATGAAGCTAAATTGTAAATCTGTAAGGCAATTCGAACAATAGCAACTGTGCCCATTTTATACTCGTACTTTACAGTGTTTCGTTTTCGCGCTAATTGAGTAACGATCAAAAATACTACAGTGACAATTAAGAAAGTCAGGGCGTGCTTTTGGGAAAAGATCGATAGAAAAGAACTCGCATAATTGCTTGACGGATTAGCATTAGTTTAAGTGGAGATGAAATACCTACTTGAAACAATGTTTAGGTAGTTTCAGTTAGCCACACATGGGAACTGAGTGAACACTTACTTCAGAATAAAACGTCGTCCAGCGTCTGCGATGTGCTCGGGTGCACAATTTATACTTGTTTGATTTGTTTGGAAACTTTTGGTCTTTTTTTTCGTTTTTGCAACTGTTAACGAGAAAAAAATAAGAATCAATTTTGGGTATATTATGTACTTAGCTAATTGGAAGCGAAATTTTTAAAATGTCCAGCAGGCTCTGGCTTTATTTGGATAATCTCTTGTTTTTATTAGTCTTGATAGGTCGTATTTGAAATTATACCTTAAGTGAAGTTCGATCATAATTATATGAAGTGTCCAATCCGAAGATATCACTTAGATTATACACCATGTAGTTGTTTAGAGATCAGGAATAATTCGGCCCAAGCAAGCTTAGACAACTCTGTTGTCTTATAAAGTAACCTTTAATAACCGAATATCCTAACTAAACACTGTAAACTGGTTGTGTACACAACCAAAACTATTAAACGAAATAATAACCGAAAGGAAATATGATAGCTTTCTTGTACTACCTATTCGGTACCATATGATAGGGTATCCCTGTGATCCACAGCGCGACGTTAGATGCCCTCATCCAGTTGACTTGATTGGATCACGACTTTGGCAAAAGCAGTCGGGTCCAAGATAGGCCGATTATAAAACGTTGTGAAGGTAGAGGCCCGAGTCCAACCCGCAGTTTGAAGAATGTTTGAGAGAGAAAGCCCATGCCTAAAAGCCGCAGAAGTGGATGCATGACGGAATGAATGCGGCTTGAAAACATTTGTATCCAATCCAGCCGTAAGCAATGTGTTCTTAATCCAGCGACTGATGGATTGTTTGGTAACGGTTTTATGGGGCTTTTTAAAAGTAATAAACAGGTAGTCCTGATTCGGAGTCCGGAGGGGTTTTGTAGCCTCTATGTAGTTAATCAAAGTAGTAGCTACACAGAGTAAGGGATTTTCAGCAAATCTTGGTATTTGCAGGCAAGGCTGAGATCGATTGGTACCCGAAGTTTTAATGGGGTCAGTGATGGGAATCTGTATGCCCTGTGGAGAGGTATGTATGTTTGTTAATTTGATTAACTGGATTGTCTGCAGGCGATGGCCTGTGGTCTAGCGATTCCTTTCATAAAGCGCGAAAGACGCGCATCGTTTGACAGTGGTTGCAAATGAATAAGCGCCAACGCGGAGCGATGGGAATTCATGCTACCGTACTGGAGATTGTTTCCCTCGAACACCCGCTGTAAAAATTATATTATGGAGGGAATCGGTGCTTGAAAAGGAGAGAGAGATCGTTCGCTGCAGAAGTTCCACCACTGTCGATAAGTTGTTTCATACTGTCGCATGGTCGAGTCGGATATGGATTCTACCATGGTGTCGATGGCACAGTCCGGGACTTCTTTCTTGCGAAAAGCCTCGCAGATAAGTGCGCGGCCACCAGGGTAAGTGCGCTTGACACCGGATGTTGGTGACTAAAAATAGAAGATAACGTATAAGTTTTTGGAGGAAAAACCTCTGCCTTTTTGGTTAACTCTTGGAACAACGGGTACCAAGGTTGCCCTGGCCAAAGAGGTACGACTAAAATACCCTCAGCTCGATCCTGGATAAGTTTTTGTAGAACTCGTAAAATAAGAGAAAACGGTGGAAACGCGTAAAAAAACTTGTTGGTCCACCTTACGGTAAAGGCATCGACTGCCCACGCTCCAGGATCTGGTCTCCAAGAGACATACTTTTCACATTTGAAATTGTGGTGGGACACAAAAAGATCTATCGAAGGCTTTCCTAGAGAGTGGCTAATTATATCGAAAGTGGTTTCGTCAAGCGACCATTCGGTATCAGTTGGGAGGACACGGGAGGCTCTGTCAGCCCTCCAATTATCTTGGGAGCTGATGTGTGACGCGAACAACCAAATATGGCGCTGTTCGCACCATTGCCAAATGTTGCGAGATAAGCGGCTAAGGGCAGGATATTGAATGCCGCCCATTTTATTGATGTACGCGAGAGCTGTGGTGTTATCAGTGCGAATTAGTACATTAACCCTTGTCGAATCCGATACAAAAGATTGTAGGCCGTAAAAAATAGCGAGAAGTTCGAGGATGTTGATGTGGTACGCCTTTTCCTTTGGGGACCACCAGCCGTGAGTTGTTTGTGTATTACAACAGGCGCCCCACCCAGTCAATGAAGCGTCTGTATATAACTCCACATCAAAAGCATCCTGGTGAAGATCGTTAAAGGCACCTATAACAGTTTGGGTCCACCAGCGTAGGTCCTTAAGCGCAGTTGATGTCAAAGTGACAAGCACGTTGTAATTTTCGTGACTGGCAAGAAGTGCTAGATATTGTTATCTAGCTAATAATTTTGTATAGAGCCAACCGTACTTTGTAGCGGGGCATACCGCAACAAGCGAACCAATGAGAGTTGCTAACGCGCGAATGGAACAACTAGGATTCTTTATTCGATTGTCAATTAAAAGTTTTAAGTGGCTAGCTTTCTCATAGGGGAGTTCAAGCTGCATTGTTGAACTGTTAAATATAAATCCCAGAAACTGTTGCCTCTGGCTAGGTACTAGCGAACTTTTATCGTAGTTTATGAGGAACCCTAAAGTTAAGTCGTTTAGGGTATACGCGACGTTTTCTGTGCAATCCTCTTTGGTCTTACCAAAGATTAAAAAATCGTCTAGATAGTTCACGCAGGAGATGCCCTGTTGTCGTAGATGGGAGACTACAGGTTTCAAAGGCTTGGTAAAACAATAAGGCGCGGAACAGAGACCAAACGGAAGGCAAGTGAACTCAAACAGATTATCCTCAAAAGCGAAACGCAAATAACCCCTGTGGTGTGGGGCTACCGGTACTAAAAAATAGGCGTCTTGCAGGTCGATTGAGGCCATGAACGCGTTCCTATGTAACAACCGCGACGCCGTACGATAGTCTTCCATTTTGAAATGAGAAGTAGAGACAAACTCGTTAAGTGCTTTAAGATTTAAAATAAATCTTTGTGTACCATTTGGTTTAGTTCGCAAAAAGAAACTAGAGATAAACTGGTTTTTGCAAGGAGTGCAAGGTTGTATAGCCCCTAGAGCTAGTAAGTCTTTGATTGCGGACTGTGTGTGTAACCTTTCTAATTTAGATAAGGTTTTGTAGACCGGTCGCTGTTGCGACGGTGTTGACGAAAACGGAATGCAATATCCTTTTATCCAAGACAGTGGCTGAGGGTCAGTCGTAATTTTGGTCCAGGTGCGATAAAAAAATTGTAAGCGACCAGCGGGTAGCAATGTACTTACCTCTACTGTCGACGTTGGTAATGGTAGCGTGTTTTTGAGGGCTGGCCCTTCTGTGGCTGAGCTCTGCCCGTTGAGCGAGCCGGGCGATTGCGGTTTAACGGCCCGCTATTATAAGGCCGGCTAAGGTTAGCGCTCTCTCCCCCCTTTTCCCCCCTGGCAAACTTTGGAAGAGTCCGTCTGGACGAAACAGTAGAGGTATGTGATACCGGCGGGGCCTTTAAGTCCTTCCCAGCTTTAGCCACTAATTTTGCAGCTTTTATTTGCTCTCCTAACTCGTTTCCAAAGAGAAACTGAAGCGGAGTAGATTTCTCGACTATAACCTTCACTGATTTGCTTAGAGAAGGATAAATGAGAGTACGCCGGAGTGACATTTGATGGAGAAGGTCTAAATGTATGCGACTTGCATCCCTCAATCCTGCCAATAAGCGAGCTGTCAGATCTTGGGAAATAATTTCTTTATTCTCAAGAATTAAATGAACAGCCGAGGCTAGGGCCGAGCTACCGTGACTTAGTTGTGTCTGCATTTGCAGGTATGCATTGTCACGTTTTAGGTTAGGTCCCGACAAGATAGAAGAAATCTCCGGATTAAGAATTGGTGGGGTCAAAGCGACGCAATTCGATGGCAACTGATAAGATTTGAATAAAGAGTCGCGCTCCGAAGAAACGAGGCCATTAGCAATCACATGACTCCAGCGGGAGTTTAAAGCTTCGTGAAGGTCGAATGGCGCCGGGGTGTTTTGTCGGGGATCCTCTCCTAAGACATGCAAAAATGCCTCCGGCAAATCGTCTTCATTATTAATTTGTAAAACCGGAGACTCCCTGTCGTCAAAATCGGGCGGATCTGGAGCCCCCTCGCTGGAGGTTACAGTCGCAGCTGGCGCCATTTTGCGCGGAAAATGATCGACCAACCGTTCAGCGCTAGCCGAATCGTGCAAGAACCGATCTGCGC